GCTGTAGGGATTGGAAGAAGAGAGAGAGAAAGAGAGAGAGAAGCGGCCAGGCTGCAACACTCAGGGACGGGGGGTAAGAGGAGTGTAGAGGGCCCTGTTCTTTTGTTGCATCTATTTCTGTTGTAATTCTGCTGGATTGTGGAGGGAGTGTAGGGATGGTGGTGCCCTGCTGAGATGCACAAGGCAACTGCACTTGCAAGTCTGACCAACCGGTAAAGGGGCAGGCCCTAATGTGGAATTGAGTTTGGACTATAACTCCTGAGTGTGAATCCTGCCTATAAAGGGATTACATGCCATCACGGTGAGCTGCCTCCTGTTCTGTAATCATAAATTCAACATCAAGTCATGGCAGGCAGGCAGATATTAGAGGCAGCGACCTCTCTTGGCCAATTTCAGTCTGGGGGTACCCAGGTATAGGCACCTCCCCAACACTGTCACATTCTGGTGCATTGGCTGGGAGCAAAACCCTGCTTAGATGGAGGCAACGCTGACTGCTGCAGGGAGCATGGATACAGCAAGAGGCCATGCTGCTGCAGGGAGTATGGCAGATGCAAGAGGCCATGCTGCAAATCTTGCAGGGGACACGACAAAGAGATGAGCTACTCAAATCGAGGGTAAAAGAGAATGAGGCCCACAAGCTGCTGTTTGCCTAACAGCTGGCTCTCAATGTGGAAGCTGCTGGAGTGCTTGGAAAAATGGAGGAATTCTGCATGCCTCGGATAATGCCCAGGGATGACCCAGAGGCATATCTTGAGGCATTTGAGAGGATGGCCACAGCGGTGGGATGGGATAAAGCCAAGTGGGCCTATCAGCTGGGTACCCTACTAATAGATAAGGCACAGGCAGCGAGCAGAGAACTGTCACGGAAAGAAGCCGGGGACTACCAAACAGTAAAAGCAGTGATCTTGTACCGACTGGAGGTATCCACAGAAAATTACAGGCTAAGATTTCAAGAGAAGACGATGTCAAATGAGAAATGACCCCGGGTTCTACTTCAGCTGCTCCAGGACCTGGTGTGAAAGCGGCTGAATCCTGAACAATGTAACTTGGAAGAGGTAATTGATTTAATACTGTTGAAGCAGTTTACTGGGGACTTGTGGGAAGGAACCCAACAATGGGTGTGATGGTACCAGCCGCAGTCAGCAGCAGAAGCACTGAAGATAGCAGAGTCCTACATAGAAGTGGAAAAAGGTACACACCAAGAGAAGTGGGGTTAGCCATGAACTTGCCAAGCCCAATAATACTAGGCAGCAATTGGCCATATATTAAAGAGGTAACGTGGGAGGTGGCCTCTTAATCGGGAACACTGAGAAGTCTCCGCTATTCCAGCAGGCCTGAGGAGGC